CTCTCATCCAGGGGCACTCATGTTTATACACACATATTTTTGCCATCAGCTACAAACAGGCACGCACCCGCACATTCATGCATGCACACATACACCCATAGCTGCAGGCTCACGTTCAGACTCACCCCATACACATCAAGTCACATATACACAACAATTACCCCCACAGCATGACCGCAAGTAACTCAGAATACTCCCTCTGTGTCAGGCGTGGTTCTGAGTGCTCTGCACATTATCATCCTGCTTAATCTTTTAAACCCGTGCTTCTCAAACCATCTGTGGTGAAAGACCAGGTTTGCTTGGGGGGGGAGGGGGTCTGTTTTGTTTTGTTTTGTTAATTTCCAGTTGTTTGTCGATCAGTATAAGGTCTTACTGTGAATTCAACACCCAACCTTGTTTATACCCTGTTACATGAGACCTGTCCCTGATCTCACACTTGGATACTATGGCAATGTCACGATGCTACAAATATTTCTGTAATATCTGTACCTACCTTGTCATAGACCAGAAACAAACAGTTCTAGGACAGGCACGAGTCCTATCTATATCTTGAGTAGCAATCCCTTAAAGCATGCCAGAAAGTGGACAACTGGCATTATCCCCATTCGATAAATAAGAAAACGGAGGTACAGCATTTTGAAGATTGCCCACAGTTACACAGCTAGTAAGGGCAGGAGCCAGGATTAGAACCAGGACGGTCTGCTCCAAAACTGTGCTGTCTCATATCCCTACACACTTGGGCACAGAGTTATACTCACATACACAACAAAAGACACACACCTGCAAATACACATATGGACAAGCACTCCAGACACAAATGTGCATGTATTTATTCACTATAGTAAACACACAGGTATGCACACAGAACTACAAGCACAAACATACAGATGTGTCTGTTTTGCTAATTATTATGTCCCTGGTGCTAGTACATTGCCTGGCACACAGTAGGCACTTAGAAAATATTTCTGAATGAATCAATACCTTTATGCCCCATATGCCTTCCTTCCATAAGAACATATTGTCTATGAGTGTATAGATTCTCTTTCATGGAGGGACTAACACAGCAGGTTATAAGCACGATCTTTGGGTTCAGGCAGATCACAGCTCAAATCCTGTCTCTGACATTAATGCTGTGTGACATGGGGAAGTTGCTTCGCCTCTCTGAGCCTCAATGTCATCATCTAGAAAATGGAGATTTCAGGGGCACCTGGGTGGTTCAGCCGGTTGAGCGTCCGACTTCAGCTCAGGTCATGATCTCATGGCTGTGAGTTCGAGCCCCCTGTCCGGCTCCGTGCTGACAGCTCAGAGCCTGGAGCCTGCTTTGGATTCTGTGTCTCCCCCTCTCTGCCCCTGCCCACCCCCCAGCTTGCACTCTGTCTCTGTCTCTCTCAAAAATGCAAAAATGTTAAAAAAATTTTTTTAATAAAATAAAATATAGTGGGCACAGAAGAATGCATGATCTAAGACCTCATTTTTAAAAAGATTAAGAGCAGCCAAATTAATCAATGGTGGTAGAATTCATGAGTGGTTATTTCCAGGAAGTGGAGAAGGGAACCACAGGAGAGGCTGGAAGTGTTCCACACCTCGGTCTAGGTGGCAGTTACACAGGTACAGACATAGGTTAAAAAAAAAAAATCATCAATTTGCAAGAATGAGTGGTCAGGGAAGGGCTCACAGAGGTGACAGGTGAGTAAACATCGGAGGGAAGGGAGCCGTGAGTGGTTCGCTGGAGAAGGAACCGTGCAGGCAGGACAGCAGGAGCAAAGGCCAAGGATACCTGGCAGGTCCAAGGAGCAGCGAGAAGGCCAGAATGGCCGAGGCAGAGAGAACAAGAGGCCAGTGGGAAGAACCGGGGGCCTCTGTAGGCCATGATAAAGACTTTAGTTTTTCTTTGAATGAAATGAAAGCCCTAGGAGTGTCTGAGAACACAAGTGCCGTGATGTGACTTTTAAAAGGATCCCTCTGAGTGTCCTGTAGACTGATGTCTGTGAGTATATTAGTCAGGGTTCTCCAGAGAAACAGAACCACTAGGATATATATTAAGAGATTTATTTCAAGGAATTGGCTTACATGATGTGGCGGGCAAACCCAAAGTCTGTAGGGAGGCTGAAAGGCTGGAAAGTCTCCAGCGGGAGCTGCCGCCGCATTCAGAGGCCAATTCCTTCTTGCTTGGGAACTGCAGTTTTACTTTTGTGGCCTTTCACTGATTAGATGAGGCCCACCCAGGTTATCGATGGTACTCTCCTTTACTTAAAGTTCGCTGATTGTGGATGTTAACCACATCCACAAAATACCCACGCAGGAACACCTAGATGAGTGTGTGAATAACCGAGTATCTTAGCCTCGTCACATTGACACAGAAAACTAACCATGACAGGGGGTAAGGATGGAAATGGGGAGACAGGAAATCACTATAATAACCCTGGAGGGAGAGGATGGTGGCCTGGAAATGGCCAGAAGAGCAGAGGTGGGGAGGAGGGATTGGATTACAGACTCAGTGTGAAGTAAAGCCAGCATGACCTACGGATGGGATGAATGTGAGAGAAAGTGGGGATCCAGGAGTCCAGCCTGGGCAACAGCAGAAGCAGAGCTTCCACTGATTGAGATGGACAGACTACAGGAGGAACTGGTCTGGGGTGAGGCTGACAGTCTCATTTTGGACATAAGGCAGAGATGCATCCTGCATACCCAGTAGGCAGGTGGGCACGTAAGTCTGGAGTCAGAGGAATAGCCAGGGGTAGAGATACAAATTAGGGAGCCCAGGGTTCGGCCAGGGAAGTATGGTAAAGCCAGAAAGGGACAGAGAAGAGACAATGGCAATGACCCAGGGGCCAAAGCTGTGCAGACAATGAGATAACACCGCACACCTGTTGAGAGCGTTAAGTCTGTTAAGACAAGCTACAGACTGGAACGTATTTGAAACCAGGGACTAGTATCTAGAATATGTAAAGAACTCTCAAAACTCAACAATTTCTTAGAAATCCAATCAGGAAATGGGCAAAAGACATAAAGAGACGTTTCACTGAAGAGGATATACAGATGGCAAAAAAGCGCATGAAAAGGTATTCAACGTCATTCATGATTAAGAAATTACAATTACAAAAATAATAATAGTGACCAATGCTGGCACAAATGCAGGGAAACTATGTACATATATAACTGTATATATATATGTGTGTGTGTGTGTGTGTGTGTGTGTACACATACATATACATACTGATACATTGCTGATGGATTATAAAATGGTACAGGCACTCTGGAAAACAGTTCATCAGTTTCTTTAAAAAGAAACAAAAACAAACAAACAAACAAAAACCCTACCATATGGCTCATCAGTTGCACTCCTGGGCATTTGTCCCAGAGAAATAAAAAACTTATGTTCACACAGATACCTGTAAACAAACGTTCCTAGCAGCTTTATTCGTAATAGCCTAACATTGGAAACAAGCCAGACATCCTTCATCAAATGAATGGTTAAATAAACTGTGGGGCATCCACACCATGCAACTATTACTCTACAACAAAAAGAAAAAAGCTGTTGATACTTGCGACCACTTGAAAATCTCCAGAGAATTATGCTGAGTGAAAAAAAAAGTTCCCCCCCAAATTACATATTGTATGACTCCATACACATAATATTCTTGAAATGACAAAATTACAGAAATGGAAACCAGATTGGTGGTTGCTAGGAGTTCAGGAGGGGGTTGTGTTGGTAAGCAACTGGGCATGGGCTAGAAAAGGGCAAGAGGGATCCTTGTGATGATGAAAATGTTCTCTATCTTGACTCCATCAATGTCAATGACTCTATCAACTTGCCTACGATATCGTACTACAGTTTTGCAAGATGTTTCCATTGGAGGAAACTGGGTTAATGGCACACTGGTTATTTCTTTCGACTGTATGTGAATCTACAATTACCTCAAAATACAAAGTTTAATTTTTATTTTTTTTTAATTTTTTTTCAACATTTATTTATTTTTGGGATAGAGAGAGACAGAGCATGAACGGGGGAGGGGCAGAGAGAGAGGGAGACACAGAATGGGAAACAGGCTCCAGGCTCTGAGCCATCAGCCCAGAGCCCGACGCGGGGCTCGAACTCACGGACCGCGAGATCGTGACCTGGCTGAGGTCGGAGGCTTAACCGACTGCGCCACCCAGGCGCCCCTAAAGTTTAATTTTTAAACGGACATGCAAAACGCTAGCTTACATTTTGTATTAGATCCAACAGGCATAAAAGCCATCAACATTTTAAAACTTCTGCTCTTCACCAAAAGACATCATTAAGAAACTGGAAAGGCAAACCAAAGACTGAGGGAAAATATTTGCAGCTCTGACAAAGCACTTGTATCCAGAGCATAGAGAGAATCTCTACAATATGAGCAATACAATGCAATTAAAACCACAGTGGGACAGGACTTCACAACCGCTAGCATGCCTAAAGTTGGAAAGACTGACAATGCTAACTTTTCACAAAGATGTGGAGTAACAGAAGGGTCACATGTTGCCGGTGGAAATGTAAAATAGTACCAGTGCTTTGGAAAACTTCACGGCTTACCTAGATATTTACCAAAAGAAATGAAAACATGTATTCACAAAAAGACTTATACAGGAATGCTTTTTCATAGCAGCCCCAATCTGGAAACAACCCAAATGTCCATCAACAGATGAAGGGATGAGCAAATGTGGTGTACTCATACAGTGGAATGCTACTTCGCAATAGAAAGGAACAAACTTTTGATACACACACAGACATGGGTGAACCTCAAAAACGTCATGCTGGGGGCGGGGGGACGACCCAAATGGCTACACTGTATGATTCTATTTATATGAAACTCCAGAACAGGCAAAATCATCCACGATGATAAAAGTAGATCGGTGGCTGGGTGCAGGGAAGGGGACTGACCGCAAAAGAATAGGAAAGACGTTTGAGGGATAATGGAAATTTTCCCTATCTTGATTATAGTGGGCATAAATGTCAAAATCATGGAACGGTACCCTGATAACGTGTGCATTTCATTTTATATAAATTAAAACTCAGTTGATTTTTAGTACGAAGACAAAATACAAGCCCAAAGGGGCTCTATCAACTTGCTATGAAAGTTTCTAAATGTTTACTCTAAATTTCCGTACTGAACTCTTCCACCCCATGGACAAAAAACAGCTGTGGTCCGCGGTCCACACTCTGAGCAGCAAACACCCTACCCCACTTTGCCAACTACTCGCTCCTCTAACACATCTCCCCAGCTCCGCCTTTCCAACTCTAGATCGGAAAGCCCGGAGGCCAGCAAGGGGGAGGCTCCCGACAGAGCCCGCGGTCACTGGGTCTTGAATACGGGCTTGCGCTGCAGCCGCAGCACCCGGTAGGTGTTCAGGCCCGGCACGTCGAAGCCAGGAGACAGTCCGTGGCGGTCCAAGGGGTAGAAGTTGACGAGCTGCCCGTGCTGCGCCTCGAGGGAGAGCCAGGCGTCGCCGAGCGGCAGCTCGCAGGGGAACTCGCGGGCCACGTGCAGCTGGAAGACGCGGCCGCGCAGGTGACGCAGCGCCAGCGTGCGGAACGCGGGGGGCACCAGCGCCTCGACGCGGGGCCCGAACTGGCGCAGGCGCAGCTCGCCCTCCGGCCCGGGGCGCACCTCGTAGAAGGTCTGGTTGGCGAAGGTGAAGTAGCCGGCGAAGGGGCGCGCGCTGGGCGGCGGGGCGGGGCTGGGCTCGGCCTCGCGTAGGGCCCTCTCCATGGCGGGCAGGAGCACGTCGTAGGCCTGCGCCACCAGATCGCGCCCGGGTGGCCGCGGCCCCGCCAGCAGCAGCACGAGGCTCAGGCGCAGCGGCGGCACCAGGGAGAAGGTGGCGGCGTAGCCGTCCAGGTCGCCGTCCTTGCGCACCACGCGGTAGCCCCCCTGCGCGTGGAACTCCCACGGGGTGCCCGTCTCATTGGCGAAGTAGGCGCCCGAGCAGGCCAGCAGCGGCGCCAGCAGGGCCTTGGCCGCGTCGGGCCGCAGGAGCGGGAGCCCGCCGCCCAGGAGCACCATGGCCAGCTTGGCCAGGTCCGCCGGGGTGGAGTACATCTGGCCGGACGGCCGGTACCAGCCCAGGTCGTAGAGCGGCGCCGGCCGGCCGCTGCCGTAGAAGCCAGCCGCCAGGCGGGCGCGCACTAGGGGCGTGAGGTCGAAGCCCGTGTCCTCCATGCCCAGTGGTTCCAGCACGTTCTCCAGGATCCAGCGCTGGTAGTCGCCCTGAGCAGTGTGCGCTGCGAGGACGTGGGCCAGAAGCGAGAAGGCCAAAGTGCTGTAATGGCACCTGGAAGAGTAGGGGTGGAAACTGGGATGCGGCCGTGGGTGAGCATCTCCAGGCCCTGAAGAGCCGGGCCCCACCTGCTCAGACCGAGATGCCACCAGAGGTTCGTTGGACTGGGCGCGGTTGAGAAGGAACCTGCTTCACTGCATCCCAGGTGGTCAGACCCAGCAGAGACCCCAGAGATGATTGACTACAAGGCACTATCCTACATCTGGGAAGACTAAGGACCAGAGAGGGGCAGAACTGCCCAGAGTCACACGGCAACTTGGAGAAGAGTTGGACACAGCAACACATCTGGGAGAGTGGTAAAACAAATCTTTTTGGTCCTTTTTACTTTAGTGTAATTGATTTTATCAAATGGAAAACTAGAGTCCTGGGGCACCTCGCTGGCTCAATCAGTTAAGCATGAGACTCTTGATTTCAGCTCTGGTCATGATCTCACAGTTCATGGGCTCAAGCAACACAGATCCTGCTCGGGGTTCTTTCTCTCCCTCTCTCTCTGCCTTCCCCCTGGATGTGTGCTCTCTCTCTCTCTCTCTCTCTCTCAAAATAAATAAATGAAACTTAAAAAAAAAAAGTTCACTGTTCACTCACAAGAATGCACATTGCATGAGGAAAGGCTGCTTGTAATTGGCTCCCTGCTGTATCTCAGTAGGTAGGTGTTGTATCTCGGTTGAGTAGGTGCTCGATAAAAGTTGAGTTGGTGAATCGACAGAATACGAGGTTCACACAGAACTGAACCTGGGCCCAGCTTCCCCCTGCCTTGCGGTGCCAGCCTGTCTGGGCCTGTCTTCCCAGCTGTGGACTAGGGGATGCATTCAGGGATCCCTGCATCTCCCTTGGCTCCAGATGTCTAGGGTGAGGTGACTCAGGCTCTCTCCTAGGAGGGGTGTGTCACCTCTGGAGGTTCCTAATGTCGGTGGGGCCTCAGACACACTCCTCACCTGGTTCCTGGGTCTGCCACCAGCACATCATCCTTGAGCAGGCTCAGGGCCTCCTGGGTGCTGCCCCTCCACAGCAGGGAAGTAGAGCGGAGCCTTCTGGGCAGCCCTGGGGAAGAGCAGTGATCAGAACTGCTGGGCCGGCTGAAGGTGGGATAGTGGCCCCCGGATGCACTCCCTCCCCCACCTTCCGTGGATTGAGAGATAATGACCGCAGAATCACTTAAAAAAAAAAAAAAAAAAAAGTCTGGCATGGACTCTAACCCTCCCTGTGTTTGGTTGGGCAAGTCACTTAGCCTCTCTGAGCCCCAGTCTTCCCTTTCCTCTCTTCCCGGGGAACACAAGGGAAATCATTTAATTTCCTATATCATAGGGCTCAGGTGAGATAAAATGCTCAGCTTGGGGCCTGGCCATAGTAACTGCTCAAAAAAATAATTGTTATCATCAACCCATAGAAGTTTGATTCCATAAAATTCTTGAGGTCAGTACCCAAACAGGTTTTGCCAAACTGGCTTCTCTGACCACTTGGAATTTTTTGTTTATTGGATGTGACATGTATGGGAAGGATTACAGGACTGGGATTCTTTCCATCCCTCCACCTGGCCATAGTTTTCAAGCACCACGTTTTGTTCCAAGGTCTGTTCTGGGTCCTGGGCATTCAGTAGTGAACAAAGTAAAGTCCTTGACCACATGGAGTTTCCATTCTAGTGGAGGGGACAGATGATTAATAAATACTCGTGCTATGGGGTAAGAAAGGAGGGATTGTTATTTGATACAAGGTGATCAGAGGAAGGTGACCCTTGAGCAGGTGGGAGCTGGAGGAGGAGAGGGGGAGAGCCAAGCAGCAGTGTGAGGGAACAATGTCATGCAGAGGGAAGGTGTGGAACAGCCAAGTGTGGAGGCCCTGAGGCGGGAGTGACTTAGCTTGTTTGAGGACCAGTGTGGAACAGCCAGTGTGGCTGAAGAGTGAGGAGGGGAAGACTTCAGAGGTGAGAAGTACTGGGATTGTAGGCACCAGGTGTCACGGGGTGCTATAGGGTACTGGAAGGACTTGGCCTTTTCTCTGAGTCGGATGTGACCATGGCTGGGGTCGTGAGCAGAGGAGTGATGAAATCTGATGTATATTTCATCAGGGTTGCTCTGGTTGCTGTTTGAAAACAGACTTGGCGGTGGGGGGAGGCGGGCCCCCCGAAGCAAGGAAGCCTATAAGGAGACTTGAAAAATCCGCATTTTTTTCATGGTGGCTGGGACCCGGGAGCCAGCTGTGGAAGTGGTGAGGACGGGTTGGGTTCTGGATCTACTTTGAGTGTGGAGCCAACGGAATTTGCTACTTGAGGGGATGTGGAAGGTATGGGGGTTGGAGGTATCAGGGGTGACTCAAAGGCCTTTGGCCTGAGCAACTGGGAGATGGAGTCCCAGGCCCCGGGTGTAAGTTCTGACTCTGGAACTTCTTGCTGTGTGGCCACAAACCATGTACCTTACCTCTCTGAGCCTCTACTTGTTCCTCTTTAAATGGGCTGCAACACCTGCTGTGGTTTCCCTAGGAAGTGTTAGAAGGCTTAACTCAGAGAATGGATGAAAAGCTCCAGGAACGGGAGACAGCTGTAGATTACAGTGAGAGTCGATCATAAAAGACATTGAGAGCCTAGAACAGAAGTTATTCAGGCAGCTGTTGCCTCAGCTGGCCCCTTGGGACTGTAGAAGACATGTAGGGTATTTTTAAACTAACCAAGCACCCTGGACTTGGTTCCCTGGGTATGGATGAAGAAGAGTCCACAATACACCCCTAGAGGGAGCCCTGGAGTCAGAGTTATAACCCAGGTGGCTTGAACAGGATGCCGGAAGAGCCTAAGTAAGCCTGAAGGCTCCTTACCTGCATGGCCCCTTCCAAGGCCTATATCTAACTTGGAATTTTTAATAATGCATTCTTAAAGAGGACCCCCATAATTACATCCTCATCAGGCCCCACTGCACCTAGGTCTAACCCTGGCTAAAATAACCAAAGCTACATTGACAAGTACCTGCTGTGTGCCAGGAGCTCTGCTAAGTGTTTTACACTCATTATCTCATTTAATCCCCAATAATAAGGCAAACCACAGTCATTTTACAGGGGAGAAAATAAGGCTCAGAGAAGTTCAATGACTTGCCCAAGATCACCCAGCTGGGAGAAGGCAGAGCTGGAAGTTCAGTGCTCATGCCCTTAACCATCAGGCCACCCTCCCCCAAGAAGAGTGACCCTGTCCTGCCTCAGCTGCTTCAGGAGGTTCCATCCTCTCGCTGAACCTCGGGTGCACTGCCTGGGCTCAGGAGTGATAACCAGCCATGTCCATTGACTAAGACCTCAGGCCTTTTGAAACAATGAAATGGCATCATTTCAAATGAAATGGCCTGGGTGGCTCAGTGGGTTAAGCGTCTGACTCTTGGTTTTGGCTCAAGGTTCATGAGTTTGAGCCCCCATGTCTGGCTCTACACTGACAGTGTGGAGTCTGCTTGGGATCCTCTGTCTCCTCTCTGCCCCTCTCCCTGCTTGTGCACGCTCTCTCTCTCTCTCTCTCTCTCTCTCTCTCTCAAAATAAATAAGTAAACTTAAAAAAAAAATGGCAGGCACATGTATGTCCATTTAGTTTATATAAAGGTATTATAGAGTAATATGTACATTACACATTCTTATATGTATTCATTCATACACATATGTGCACTTTGTGTGTATATTATTTTATTTATTCAAATAGTAGCATATAATATATGCTGTTTGAGCTTTTTCCCCCACTTAACACTGTATCTAATTCCATCTCAGTACATAGACAACATTATTCCCCTTTTTTCTAACACTACATCTGATTTGATTATATAGCTGTGTTACAGTTTGTTTAGCCACTCCCCTGCTTATAGATATGTAGGTGTTTCAGTCTTTTGCCGTTACAAACAGCGCTGCAGTGAATGCATGCAGACCTCACACCACACATGTGTGAATACATCTGTAAGAGAATCTCCTAGAAGGGTAATTGCTGAGCCAAAGGATCTATGCATTTTTAATTGTGGTAGATATTATCATTGTCCCCCATCCAGGTTGCAGCAATGTAAATTCCCACCACTGATGCATCAGAGGGTCTAGTTCACCATAACTTCACCAACCCAGTGCACCCACCATTTTGGCCTTTGCCAAGGGAAAAATGTCTCTCCGTGGTTTTAATTTGCGTTTATGTTGTTATGAATGAGGTTGAACATCTTTTAATATGTTTTCATAGTGTTAAGGGCCATTTGTATTTCCTTTCCTGTGAATTGTCTATTCTGTTCCTATTCTTTGCCCATTTTTCTGTCGGGTTGTTAGTCTTTGTATTGATTTGTACGTAATCTTTGTATATTGAGGGAAATTAGGTCTTCATTGTAGATCTGTGTACAAATATTGACCTGTTCTTGACCTAATAAGCAGATCTTGACTTTCAACTTGCCAACTGATCTTGATTTGTCTCCTTGATCTAAACTCCCAGATTTCACCTCCGCTTTTACCTCACCAGATCTTTCTACCCCTGGTCCACCATCCAGGGCGGGTGAGAGGGAGATGTGGCTGGCCTGGCTGCATGAGAACCTGCTGCTCAGTTGCCACCCCTGAAATGGTTTGGGTTGAGCTGCAAAACTTCAGGGCTGCTCACCTGAGAGCTGGCTGGCCATCCTTCGGAGGGTGACAGACGAAGGCCTTGGGGCTGGGCCCACCTTCTCCAGCTCATCCATCAAGCTCTGTTGTTCAGGGGCTGATGCCATGCCCAACGGGTTGTTAATGGTGAAGGTGCTGGCATACCGCTCCAGAGGGTCATCTAGAGAGGCTACAGTGCCCTCCTCCCACAGCCGATACAGCATGAGGACTGGAAAGATCTTAGAGATGCTGGAGATTCTGGGAAGTGTTAAGCACACAAGGGTGCAGAGGATATACAGTTGGCCTTACAACCTCCGTCCTACACCCCAGGTCCCAACTTTCTAATGCTCTAGGAAAGCACTGAGTCCACCCTCTTCAGTGTCTCAGATGGAAATTCAGCAGTCTCTGTAGAACTGCCTTTGGGATGTTCGAGAACATAGCACAGTGGCAGGTGGACACTCTTGACTGCCTACCCCGTGCCAGGCCTTAACCCAAGCCCTTCCCATTCTGGGATAGACATAGGTTGGGATCATGTACCTCTGCCTCTTACTAGCCAAGTGGTCTTGGGCAAGTACTAGATCTCTCTCAGTTTCTGTTTCATTGTCCATTTTACAGGTTGTAGAAAAGATTGAGCGAGATTGGGCATGTGAAGTGCTTGGCAAGATACCTGGAAGGTAGGTAGCAAGTGTTGAGTAAGTGATAGCAAATGCAATTGTGGGCCCAGGCCTGGCACATGGCAGGTGCAGTGTGAATGGAACCTCTGTAATCCTCACAGTGTCTCTGGGAGTGAACGTGTTCCCTTTGCATTGTCAGCTTGGAGGATCCTGCAGGCAGCACCTAGGAGGGGAGACTCTGGGTGTGCCGCAGGGGGTCCCAAGTTTCTTCCGTCTGGACCGCTGCCACCAACTAACAGCGACCCGGGGCAAGGGCCCAAGAACTGGTTACAGTTCCTTCGTGGCACATAGTAGGGTGTGGGAGGTGGGACACAGGGAGCATTTTCTAGTTAGGGAGGTTCTGGGCTAAGAGCTCTCCAGAAAAGATTCCTTCCTGACTTGTTACCCCTGTGGTGTGATGTTGGGCACTCTCTGGTCCTCTCTGGCCCTCAATCTCCTCATCTATAAAGTTGTCAGGACTTAATAAAGGGTCCTGGCAGCTTGGACCCCCAGTCACGATTCTCTTGAGTCCCCCTACCTCCTAGGTCTCCCTTGTCCTCCCATCCCATGCCCCCCTCCACAGGACCCCAGAGGTCACCCAGCTGACCGGTACATAGTGTATTCACTGGGGGGCCCAGAGGCCGGGTCTGATCCATTCTTCCTCCCAAAGTTCCCAGTCCAGAGCACGGTGTCATTGTGGATGACAACTGCAGACATGGCAGCCAGGCCCGGGGCAGACAGTGCCTGACGCAGGATCCTGTCCACCTTGGAGGAGAAGAGCAGGAGTGCAGGCGCAGACAAACACCCCTCTGGTCCTGCTTGCCCTACGCATTCCCACACCACACCCTGCACACAGCGCCCCCTGCCGGG